TGAGAGAGTTTACTAACACTTAGAAATCGGCCACCACTATTACACACACACTAGAGGTGTTTTTCATGCAACATAAGCTTGTTTATATAGTGTGCATGATTAGGGTGAAACCCTAATAACCCATGTCTTTTCCTCTTCCAAGGATCCATGGGTTAATGCTTCATGGATCATCCATGGACTTCCATATAAGCTTATCCCATTAACAAATGAGTATTAGCCCACACCATATAAATGTAATAGCCCATGACTTAATTACTCTTCCTTTTAATCACTAAATTAATTCATAATTAATTCAAGATTAAAACTAATTAAATAACATGACTTTATAATAATATATTATAACGTATAATATATTAATAAATCGTAAGTATACAATTCTCACAAAATTATCCATAAATAGTTTGGGTGAAGTGCAACCCAAATGGACCATGCCGGGTCGGGTCAAGTATATACCAAATAAGTTATGGACTTAGACACCTTATCCAATAGGGAGATGTATGCACTAGGTTATGAGGCCTAGAGGAATTGATCTGCAGTCTCTATGTCCTATCAGGGTCGGTGATGAGGCTTCTATGTCTATTTGGCAGGATATCTAGTTAAGAGATGCACGTTTGCTTTCTATGTTTGCTTGAGTTTTTGCTCTGGATACTCTGAGATATGTTTATACTAGTGATCGTTTTGATAGAGGTTGGGGTGCTACTACTCTAAGACGAACCCCTGTAGAAGTGTTTAATCGAGTACAAACAACAAATCAGAGTAAAACAATGTAATATGAACACATGAAGTATATAAGATCTGGTTCAGCTCATATTACTTTCAAGAACACGAGTACAAAACTGATAGTAATTTTGTAAAGACTCTCTACTATCAACTCTATGTTCAACTCCTATTTATAGGAGACCGAAAGTACAAAAAATACTAAAGCTAAACACTTAAGTTTCGATAATAAAATGCCTTAGCAAATACATAATGAAACATACGAAATAGACAAATACACAGCCTTCGACATATTACAAGACATTTCGACTCTACAATCCTTAGAGGAGGAGCTAAGCAGGAACAATGGGATAGTTTTCTTTCTTCTTTGCAGGATTACCGTCTCCAGTCGGTTCATGATAGATTGGGCTGGTGTATTAATACCACTGATACTTTCTCTGTTTCTTTTGGCCAGAGGTAGATGGAATGTATAATGCTTTTTTAAGGAGCTCCTAAGACTCGATGGAATAATTAGATGCCCTTGAAGATCTAAATTCTTATATGGAGGATTAGGTTACTTAGTATCCGTACCCGTACTAGAGAGCGATTATCTCATAGGGGTATTCTGGTGGACTCAATCATTTATCTTGTTTGTTCTTATAGCATGGAGACTATTTTGACCATATCTTTGTAGGTTGTATTGAGTTGACTACTTTATGGTCATACATTGCTTTTTGGTGGGGTCTCCAGTTTCCTCCTTAGATTTCTATGGAGTCGCTTATATTGTGGTTCGAGTCTACTTCTTTGAGACCAGGTTAGTGAAAGGCCTTTGATGTAGTGGTTATGACATTCTTTTGGTGCATTTGGAATTTCAGGAATCCTATGGTTGTTAGAGTGGCTCAACCTATGAAGTCTTTGCTTTCTGATGATTTTGTCTATAAAACATTTTTTGGATTTTTAATAGGTGTTCTAAAGCCAAGATTAGATGGAATGATTGCCTTGATAACCCTATTTATGCAACTATATTGACGTAGTGTTCTTTTTCTAGCATCTTGCTAGTTTTTATAAATTCCCGCCGTTCCAAAAAAAATAATATTTAAAACTTCTTATAATAAATTAACATAAAATTTAAATTAATATTATAAAATCTTACAAAAATTGAGAGAAACAAATATATCATATTAAAAAAGCTTTACTAAAAAATGTTAGCATAACTTTTGGATAACATGAAAACTATCGTTTACAATATCTTAAACTAAAAGCATCCATTTGGTTAGCTTTAACTTCTATCATTATAATTTTTTTTTATATATAATTAATCTTGGTCAATTATAATCCACACGTTGTTTAAATTAGTGTTTACATAAAGATGTGAATTGTTAACTATTAACATTTATAGTCAACAATCATTAAATAATTTCTTAAATTTTGCCTTTTTAGACAAGTAGATGCTAGTTTATGCTAGTTTAGAGGTGTATATGAGTCGATCCTAATCTAACTTGCTTGTTTCAAAGCTTCATGAAATAAACTACCCTTCAACTCCCTTACATCTATCAATACATAGTTTTCCCTACCCATTGCATAATGTTTTCCTTATACTATTTATCACTGAAAAATAATATATATTACAATAAAACTCAACATTTGAGGGAATTGTGTTATATAATTTTGTCGTATAAGCATCAAATGCAAAGAAAGGCTACCTTCGTGAATAATAAGGTTTAGTTAGAAAGGAGAATATGTAATGCTTGAAGATTGTTTGTGTAGATTTAAATTCTTGACTGGTTTTAGATGTTTCTCTTTTTATAGATTCCGAATATTCCATACCTTTTTTACGATTAAAACCATGAATAATATAACAATAAAAATAAGTTTATTTACATATCTTTTTGCCTTCGTAATGCAAGCCTATTGGTTGACAAGTGTAATTCACACAAAATGTTCCGAGTTCAAATGATGTGACACCTATAATATTATAATATTGTTAGTATTCTAACTTTTCATATTGGTTGCTCAAGTGATATGATTTAAGAATTTTTTTTTTCTAAAAATAGACTGTATGAATAATGTGTTGGCTCATCTAAGATGTTATCCACTAGATGAACTTAATAACAAGGTTGTTAAGATCGGGATCTTACCTAGGATCGTTTTTGGGTTTGCAAAATCGGAATCGTAAGATCGGGATCGAGATCCTAAGATCCCACAAAATAGAATATAATTCTAATTTATACTATTAATCATAAAAAATATTTCAAACATTTAATTTTTCGTTTAAAAGTTATAAAAACTTTAAAATATTAGTCATAAGTCACAATAAAAATGATAAATGGTAGATTGGTAAAGGGTAAAAGACATAAAATGGTAAAAAAATTTCATTTGGAAAAAAAATTTAAAGGAAGGTAGGATCGGATCGGATCTCGATCCTACGATCCTACCTACGATTTTACGATCCTACCTGTGATCCTACCCAAAATACGATCCTTTTACGATCCGGATCGTTTTTCATACATAGGATCGTAGGATCGTACGATCCTACGATCAGGATCGCGATTTTGACAACCATGCTTAATAATGCTTGACTTTGGCCTGAAAGTGGTATGTGAGTCATTTTTTCCCTCCTTTTTGGCCTGATATGACATAAATCTCAATAGTGTTCGATGTATTGATGTCCCTTTTGGTGGCCTAACCTACGAAGAATTTTGTCTCTAGGTCAAATCGAACTAAGTTGATTTTGTTGGTGATTTTATTACCACATATATTTTAGTGTAATTGATTTAACAAGTGTTTTAAGAATAATTTTCTAGTTATAATACAAGTTACGAGGTGTGAGAGTGTACACTTGTATTTACTAAACATTATTAGTACCGAACCATAATCTACTGTGTCAAATCGGGGGTCCCAGATAAGAAACAAATTTGTCATTCTTGAAAGATGGAAACTGTTTTGATTTATCCGTTGTTGGATAAGTCAGAACAAACGACTCTTGGTTTTGGGACACAGATAAGAAACGAAAAACACTTTTTTCTTCATCTTCTCAAAATAGATTCTGATTTTATGCCTAAAATAAGAATTGCTACATCTGGAATTATCCCAGTTTATATTACGTGATACCCAAGACATATAGGGTCGAAATATCAAACAAGGAAAATGTTTTTACACGATTCCTGTTTGTTATCCAGATTTCTCCATACCTAATTCGAATTTTCCCCAAGAGATTTAGCCGTGATACATGTTGTCGTCTCATAAGCCATCTGTCTTTTCAAACATCCTACTTTGTTAATAGTAGAAACGTTTTATTATTAGTTTACTAAACTACAGTTTTGTTAACATAGGATGTAAGTGCTTATGAAATTACTAACATTTTAAGCATAAAACGGTATTAATGTTTAGGTTTTCCATCTACTTGACATGTTAATGATTTATGTCATGTACTCATGAGAACTCCCACGTGGATGTGGGAGGATTCTTCCTTTCAAAATACAAGGGGTGTTATTGACACTTGTAAACAACATAAAGGGGTCAAGTGAAGATGAATTAAAAAAAAAAGCCATAAACCATTAAACCTATTTACCATAAAAGAATATTGTATAATTATCCTTCCAAACCTTTATTCTTCCAACACGTAAAGCAAGTATTCAAAAATTAATTTACTTAAACCATTTAAACCAAGTGCCTCTTGACAACACCAGAGGGACGGTATGTATTGTTCAGTATTTTTTTTTCTTAATTTTTGGCTTGAAAATCAATTTATTTAAAAGTAAATTGATCACTTTCAATAAATTCAAGATTATGTGGCTAGTATTAGGTGTTTGGCTATACATCTTCCTTCTATTTATCTTGGATTACTTGTCAATGAAAATATGAACCTTTAATTTATCTAGGATTACTTGACGAAAATATGAATCATGTATCCAGTTGGGAGGTCGTAATTGAAAATTTTCACCGAAAAAACATCATAAATGGTTCCTGTGGTTACTCAAAATCTGAACTTTAGTCACCGTGGTTTAAAAACCTCATAGATGATCCATGTGTTTACAAAACATTTGACGATTGACCCTTATTGCTAACTTCGTTAACTTTTGTCCGTTAATTGAAGGGCATTTTCATCATTTCACACCACAGGGACCATTTATGATATTTTTAGTTATTTAAAAAAAGAAAAAGAAAAACTAAATATAAAATCTCTCTCTCTCTCTCTCTCCACACACACACTCACACATAAACTCATAGATCCATAAGGAGGCTTCCGATTCATCCTCCAAATCTCTCTTCCTCCTATCCCTCTGGTTCACAAAATGGTTACTCAAAACCAAAAGAATCTCAATAAACCCCCAAAAAATCGTCTCTGGTCTCCTTTAAATGGAAGTAAATGAAATGCTTCTCCGGAATCGGCTGGGATAGGAGAGTCGGAATTGGGAGTCGCTTTTCCAGAAGAGCAATGCTTCTTCGGCGAGTTCACTGTGCCGATCCAGAAGTAATAGATATTAGATGGAGGAAGATTTATTGTTAAAGTTGTTGTCGACGATGGAATAGAGAGGAGGAGGTGTTACCGTTGTTTTAGGAATCACCCACTTTCTTCACAACCCTTACATTTCTTCACAGGCGTTGCATCTCTCCGCCACGAGACAATCATACACCACCACCTACACATGTTTCCGATTGAGAAGGTTATACAATAGATCAATAACCTGAATAATAAGAAGCTGCCGATTTCTAAAAACAACAAAGAGCTCAAAAATCAAAAGATATGAATGTGATTTAGGGATTTTTGAAGTGATTTGAATAGAAATGGAGTTGGATTCATGTTCGTTGGGTTCCAGATTGTCTGAATAGAAAAGGGAATTGGATTCCCATCCGACAATACATAACGAGAGTAAAAAGGGAAAGCAATCAGTGTAGTCGAGTGGCGAGCTGCCTCTAGTGGCTTTGCTACCTCAGTTTTTGGAGTCCGACTCAGATTGATGAGAAAGAAGGGGAACAACAATAATGATGGATGATGGTGGAGTGCGACTGTGAGAATGGTCAGAATAGGTGGTGGCGATAAGTAACCGCGAATGTCTTGGTGGCCGGTAGAACAACTCCACCTCCGGTAAGGAGTTCTTGGTCGTAAATGAAGAAGGCAGAGGGGGTGAAGTTTGTATATATATATATATATATATATATATATATATATATATATATATATAGAGAGAGAGAGAGAGAGAGAGAGAGAGAGAGGCTTTTTTATTTTTTAATTATAAAAACTATTAAATAAGTATTAAACTAGTTTTTAATTATATTTAGTTTTTTCTTTTTTTTTTTTAAAAAAATAACTGAAAATATCATAAATGGTCCTTGTGGTGTGAAATGACGAAAATGTCCCTCAATTAATGGACAAAAGTTAACGGAGTTAGCAATAAGGACCAATCGTTAAAAGTTTTGAAAACACAAGGACCATTTATGAGGTTTTTAAACCACGAGGACTAAACTTTATATTTTGGGTAACCACAGGGACCATTTATGATGTTTTTTCAATTTCACCACTAAACTTCTAGAAAGATGTCTGCAACTTTGTCTATTATGGGGGAAGGTTTATGCTACTTAAACAACGTTTAGGTAGCTTCGAAACTTATTTTATTTCTATACATCTAAACTTTTAGATAGATGTCTACAACTTTGTCTATTAGGGGAAGGTTTATACTACTTAAATCCGTTTTAGGTAGCTTGGATACTTATTTTATTTCTATTAAGTGTTGGATAAAATGTTGAAAATTCTTGAGTTCTTAAGAAGTTGTTTGTTATGGGTGGCTGATTTGGGTGAGAGAAAAATAGCATAGGTACGTTGAAAAAAATATGGCTAGTAAACAAATAAGGGTCTTGGTGTGGGGAGCATGCATGTTTTCTTTTAACAAGCTCTTATGTATAATTGAAAGTGGCAATACTTGCAAAATGATAATGCTTTTGGGTGAAAGTAATTAAATACCCTCATGTGGATCTTCATTAAGAGGGACTTTTTCCTAACTGTCCGCATCATGTGGATCTGTATGGTTTTGCAGTTTAAACGTTGGTAATAGTCACTGGGAACACTTTTGGGACGATAGTTTGTTGGAGATGTTCCACTAAGGATTTAGTTTCTACGTATATATATACTTTTTAACTACATACAAGATGCAAAGTATTGAGTTGCGATAGGTGTTAATTACTTTTGTTCTTTCGGATTAACAACATAGATGGTGTGGAATCTTGATGCTACCGAAAGTTATCTAGTCTCTTGCCCGAGAGTGTTTTGGAATAACACCATTTTAGTTCTAGAAACATTCTGACTAGAAGGAACACATTAGTTCATATTAAGTTGAATGTTTTTATGCAGAGGTTATGGCTCAAACCAGTACATACTAAAACTAATATGTTACTAGAACAAATATGTTGGATAAGGGAAATGATGTTGAACCACTTGCGTGTCCTTTTTATAATACGTCTAATGAGAATATTGATCATATGTTTTATGTGTCCAATTAATAAGGATATTTGTGTTGAGTTTTCTAAGCATCAAATACACATTAACTAGTAGCAGAAAAATTAGAAATTAGTGTACATGCGCCGTAAGATCTTGGTTTTACCAAATTTAGTAACATACTTTAAATCAAACTAAAGAAATGATAAAATACTTACCTCTTGATCTGTAACATCCCAAAACTGTGAATTTATTTTTCATTTTTAAAAACAATAGTTTCAATCATCAGGTTGTTCAAAAACATTCACAATGTACAATATCAAAATCATCATAGTAATAGTATCCAAAAAGTGTGAAAATCATCAGGGGAAGATGTTGTACCATCACGCAGGGTTCTACCCCTTTGTACCGGAAGTACCTTAAACCATAAACATAAACTGTAAGCACAAGGCTTAGTGAGTTCATCCAAAGTACCACATACCAAACATACAACTGGGCCTAGCTTTGGGGTATATTTCAACTCAATAAACAAATATGGGCCCCGCCCTAAGGCCTCATATGCGATATATTTCAACCCGAACATGCCATAGTAGGCCCCGTCCTGGGGTGTATTTCAACCCGACATGCAATATTGGGCCCCGCCTTGGGGTGTATGTCAACCCGATAATATGATAGTGGGCCCTGACCTCGGGTGTATTTCAACTCGATCATACAATAATGGGTCCCTCCCTAAGGTGTATTTCAACCCGATCACACAAACATATATGTCACATAGCAACTAGAATTCTACATAATAGTATAATAGGCCGACATTGGTGCCTTCGACCCATGGATACGGTGAGGAGACTCACCTCACGAATAGACGAAATAACTACAATAACACGTTGCTCCAAATACCAACTCTACCAGTCACCTTTACATATAACAGTGACTACTACTTAGACTACAACTCATAATGCCCAAAATACCCCTAAGCCAAACTTAGTCAAATACTGATCAAAGTCAAAAGTCAACCGAGTCAAATCCATCAGACAAAACCCTAATATCGGGTCTCACATCGTGAGTTTTAAACACTCAACAATCTATGGGCTTTTTCGTTGTCACGTTGTGAGACCTTATGTCTCACGTTGTGACTTCAGTCTGAAGCTAAAAATCAAGGCTTTGAGTCCTTAATTAATCATTAAACCCAACTTTTCTAGAAGCTTAAAGGGACCATAAAGGTCCATAAAAATGTTTTCTTTCTGGACATACATGTACCAATCCATTCTAAATCAAAAAGTAGGGAAATATGCATCAAAATCTCATGCATGACTCTTATACCTCACCGACTTCGAGATCTGGACAATATGGTGACCAAGGAACCCTTAGAATCCATAAAGTTGCTAACTTTATGGCTTTACTTTACTCAAGCTTGCATAAGCATGAAGACCTATCCATAATATGCAATAAAGTTTAAACCTTTAGCACTTACAAAAGTCCGACAACAAGAAGAGATGATGATGATGATGCTACTTTACAAACTCCACCACTAGGACACTTTTTTTTATCTTCTTCTATTTTTCTTTTCATTAGAAAATGCACAGAAATGGCTAAGGATCTCAAGGATGATTGATATTAGGGTTTCTGGAGGCTTAGAGTGTATGGGAGGCTGAGGGTGGACAGCCATAACACCCTCATTCCATTAAATATTGAAAAATTTAGGTTTTAATCATTAGACTTCTCTTATGTCGTGAGCAACAAGAGCTCACGTCGTGAGACTCAAGGAATGCGAGTCACTAAGTCAACCCCGACTCACCACAAGAGAGGCATTTCTGACGGCGTGACTTCATCTAAAGGCCAAACAAAACCTCGAAAGCATGTGCCTTAAAATTGAATGTTACAACTCTCCCATAGTTGAATCTGACTTCGCCCTCGAAGTAATATGCCTCGAACATATCAGGGTAATGCTCCCTCATCTCGGTCTCAGGTTCCCAAGTCCATTAAGAACCTTTCTGGTGCTGCCACTGCACCTTCACTAGATTCACCTCCTTGTTGCTTAAGGTCTTCGTCTTTCGGTCAAGAATCAAAATTGGTCTCTCTACATAATTCAGGCACTCATCAACTTGAATATCATCGAAGGGAATCATCGTAGATTCATTGGCTAGACACTTTCGTAATTGAGACGCGTGGAAAGTGTTATGGATCTGACTGAGCTCATCAGGCAAATCCAACTGGTACACTACCATGCCTACCCGGGCATTAATCCTAAAGGGACCAGTAAATCAGGGGTGTAGCTTGCCCAACTTCTAAAATCAGATGACACCTTTCCAAGGTGACACCTTCAGAAGCACCAAGTCCCCTACCTGAAACTTGAGGTCTGAACATCGTCGGTCTACATAACTCTTCTTCCAAATTTGCGTGACTCATAACCTTTCACACACCTGCAGAATCAAATCACTAGTCTTGAGTACCACTTCGGTACTTCCCATGACCCAATGGCTAACGTCGACCCAACAAACTTGGATCCTACACCTCCTCCCATACAACATCTCGAATGGCAATCGATCAATATTGGCATGATCACTATTGTTGTAGGAAAATAGGCCAGTGGGAGGTAAGTATCCCAACTCCCTCCAAAGTCTAACATGCACACGCTCAACATATCTTCGAGCGTCTGAATCATCCGCTCATTCTGCCCATCGATCTGGGAATGATATGATGTACTGAAATACAGCTAAGTACCTAAATCCTCATGGAACTTCCTCCAAATCCTGGAGGTGAAACAAACATATCAGTCCGAAACCACCGAAACTGGCACACTGTGCCGAACCACCACCTCCCCAGTGTAAATGTCAGCTAGCTTCTCAAAAGATATACTCTCAGGAATCGATATGAAATGTGCACTATTAGTCAACCTATCAACAATCAACCAGATAAAATCAATTCAACGTGTCGTCCTTGGCAGCATTGTGATGAAATCCATGGTAATCTCTTCCTATTTCCACATGGGAATGGGTAATGGATGCATCTTGATGTGGGGTTTCTGATGTTCGGCCTTGAATTTCCTAAAAGTCAACCACTCCATGAACCTTGCTATCTCCCTCTTTATACATGACCACCAATAACTCAACTTCAAATCTCGATACATCTTCGTGCTCCCCGAATGGATTATAAAACTTTGACTTATGAGCCTCTTCCTGAACAATCTGCCTCACCCCACCAGTAGTCGGACCCCAAACTTTACCACACTGAGTCAAGAACCCTCAATTGTCTTTGACAAATAATGAAATCCACCCTCTGATCCTCTCTGATTTCTAATTTTCCTTTTTCAGTCCTTCCCCTTGAGCCTTCTTGATCAAATCCAAGAAAGGAGAAATGATAACCATTCTCAGACATATATACCCAATAGGTGTACTCACTGTCTTGTGGTTCAAGGCGTTAGCCATCCTATTGGCCTTCCCAAGGTGGTACAAGATCTCGCAATCATAATCCTTTACCACATGCAACCATCTCCACTACCGCATATTCAAATTCGACTGATCCATCAGGTACCTCAAAATCTTGTAGTCAGTGTAGCTAGTACACCTAACCCCATACAATTAGTGCCTCTAAATCTTGAGGGAAAAAAACATGGCCCCCCAACTTGAAATCGTGTGTAGGGTACTTCACCATATGAGGCTTCAGCTGCCTCAAAGCGTAAGCAATCACGTGACCCCTCTGCAAAAGAACATCTCCCAAACCTGATATAGAGGCATCACAATAAACCATAAAATCATACATACCTTCTTGGAGAACAAGAATTGAGTGCACATATTGATCGAGTCCCTATCGAAAAGTAACTGTTGATCAAGTCCCTATCGAAAAGTAGCATTCTTCTTCATCAAGCGGGTCAATGACACTGCACTTTTGGAGAAATCCTGGATAAATCTCCGTTAATACCCTACGAGACCTTGGAAGCTCTTTCACACCCTCCCCGACCGATGGCGGAAAATGTCGAGTGGTGATGGTATAAAGATTTCCTAAAATCAAAGAGTGCCAATATATTAAGAAAATCTACAAGTCTTCATGCTGATAATCCTTTCATGACTTTATCTCTTACGCTTTCCTAGGAACACATGCGATTTTTGAAAATGTCAACATAATGTTGGTGAGTACACATGTTTTTATTATTTTTGGCTTTTTATCGGGTTATATTATTTTAAGAATCCTCTTTCTTTTATAAGAACTTTTTATAAAGTATTTCATCAACCTTAGCTTACTATATTTTAGGATATCTAACGAATCTTTTTTTAGGATATATCTATTTATCCTAATTCACTATCTTTACGGGATATTTAACGATCCTAAAGTATTTTATATGTGATGTTTAATGATCCTTTCATATTATCTCTAGGACATCTAACAATCCTTTCTTATTACCTCTGGGATATTTAACGATCCTATCTTAGTATTTAATTAGGATTTTTATTTAATCCTAACATATTTTATATACCATTCCAAGGTGTCCCTAATGGTAGTCATACGCTAAGGCAATCTAATGTATTACCATAAGACCCATAATTGACACTGTTTGACTAATTGTGCCTTGCGACGATGCTTCGTTGAAAGTCGAAGAGTGAATAATTAGCAAGTTATCCTGTCAGGATTGTAGCTAGCAATCGCAGGTGTGGTTGTTAGAGCCCGTATAGATCTATACATATCTTTCTAGCTCTCGCAAGATTAATGATTATATGTATTTGGGGAATGTTGAATTTAAACAAGGCCTTTGGATAAATTAACAGCTCACTAACGTATTGAACTTATGTATTTATCTTTTATCCTTTATTTTTTATCTTTTATCTAAATCTTTCCTATAATTATCTCAATATAAGTATTTTATGTTACATTTGATAGTTATAATCCTTTATCTTAATCCTACTTAGGGATTTCTTATAATTATCAAAAGTAGGTAATAATGTGATTGATATTCCCTATACTAAAAGTTCTCCTTAGAAGTGATTATGGGAAACTAAAGGTGACTTCCGCAACGAATCGCTAGGTCGAAATCCACATTTATGTTACGTAAGCATATATATGAACGTATACCTTTACTCCCCAAAGGTACTAAACTGGCTGATTAGAACCTTTATATCTACATATGTATACATAATATATAAGTAAGATTTAGACGACCTTCGGACAACTAACCGATACCTTAAGTACACATCCCAACGAGGAAAAGGAAACAAGGCGAGTTAGCAGTTCTAAGTCCTTAAAACATTATTTATATAACTATACATATATAGACATGATTTTAACAATTGTACTAGGAATAGTAAATAGTATCTCTTAACTATACCTATTATAGTTACTAGTAATGTATGTGAATAACTGCAAGTATGCCTTTGCTTCCCAAAGGTACTGAACTAACTGATAGAATTTTTATGTCTATATATGTATACATAATATATAAGTAAGATTTAGACGACATTCGGACGAATAACCGATGCACTAAGGCCACATCCCAACGAGGAATAGGAAATAAAGCGAGCTAGTTGTCCTAAGTCCTTTAAACATTACTTATATAACTATACATATATGGGCATGCATTTGACATATAAAAGTATAAAAGAAGTTTTGGTAAAGCCTTTGAAAAGTTTAATAAATAAGAGTTCATGACTTGATGTCAGTTTATAAAACGATTTTGAAAGTAGTTTGTTTGATAAGATAGTTTTAAGTATAAGAAAAACCTTTGTGTGAAACACAATTGTAGCAAAGTTTGAAAGGAAACATACAGTAAGTAATACAGTTTGATAAAGAGTTTTAACATGTAAAAACGTTTTGAGAAAGTCATTTGAAGTAATATGTTTGGTAAACTAGCTAAAAGTGTAGTAAATCCATTTGTATGCTAGTTATTAATCACATGTGATTGATATAATAACTAGAACGATTCAACTTTTATTCCCCCCCATAAAGCATTTATAAACATTTAAAAAAGTTTAAAAGGTATGAACTCACCTGTTGTGAGTGGATCGTACAGAAGTGTTGGACAAGGTGCTAGTTGTCAAGTGGAGACTTGAACACACAATGGTCCTAGTTAACATATAATATAAACACATATGTATCTAATTAGTCATTTAACAACTATTTAATCAAGTTAAGACACCCTAGGACATGGAAACACTTTGATTCAAGTGCTATAGGTACCGAAGGGTTTCATCTAAAAGTTGTATGGAACGGCATTGGAGTTTATGGCCCAAGGACCACTCCTTATGGAGTTTATGGCCCATGGTCATTTCCCCATGAGTTTATGGCTATAAAATCATGGTACTAAGTGTCATTTGGTGTTTTGAGGTCATATAAGTCATGATTGAGCATCCGATGATCAAGTCTAAGCCTTAGGAAAGCATTAGGGGCACAATAAGACTACTTTGTAGAGTTTACAGCCTAAGGACCATATCCTTATGTGTTTACGGCCGTAAAATCTTATGGGGACTTGTTTTGATTGTTATTTAAGATCTTAAACACTTCTAAGAAGGATCAAGGTTGACATCCAAGGCTTAGGAAGGTACTAGGGTCCATTTAACCACCTTAAGAAGGGTTTACGGCCC